CCAGCTAGGGTATGAGTGTGACATCTGAAGTTTAGTTTCAGAGAATACGAAAGACGTTTCTGCACTGTTGACTGTCCATCAAGCCAGAGCACATCCAGAGGATCCTGCTGTTGGTTAAGCTCAAGAATTTGCATTTGCTGCAGTCAAATTCCCTAAACACCATCTCATGTACCTGGGTCATTTTCAATGTCCCTTGGGATCTCCTAAGTACAAAACTGCTGGACATACTTGCTTTGGGAAACCCTTCTTGGGAAGCCCAAAGCAATTCTGAAAAAGAAAGAAGTTTGCATTTAACCAAGCGCACCAGGAGGACATGTACAAGGGCCATTCTTTCTCCTGAGCTGTGACGCTGCAGATACAACCTTTAGGGAAGTGGTGGCACTAAGAGCTGATGGCACGGCAGCTGGTGACACCACATCACACTTTTCATGATGGATCCAGTAAGCAAATGACAGGCTTCAACATCCCCACGATACAGCAAGTTGTCAAAGCCCTGCTGGCTTAGGAAGGAATCGACAGGCAATATTTTTTAATTTATAAAATTCCTTCTCATGACAGATTATTAAACCTCAATCTTAAACTCCCCTTTCCCCCAATTTAGCTTTGTATGCATTTTTTTTAAGATTCTATCTCCATCATATTCCAGTACAGGCCATAAACACATGAGTTTCTGCCTGTTCTTTTGATCCAGTTCCTGGTCTTTATGGAAATGCTCATGCTGAGAATAGGGTATTGATGTATTTATTCTTTAGAAACAGCTTTCGTTTTGGGAAAGAAAGAAAAAAGAGCTTTAGGAAATAAATAAAAAGAAAGAAAGAAAAAGAAAAAAAAAAAGAAAAAAGAAAAGCTTCTATCTCTCTTAGGTTTAGTTGACATTGAGGTTTTCATAAAATGGGTCTTGGTCAAAAATGTGGTGCAACAATATTCCCACAAATATCAGCCAGTTGCAAGCTCAAGAGCACTTTTTTTCTGTGCTACTGAATGCAAAATCAACTTCCAGTTTGAGCAAGGCATGTGACCATCACCCAGCTGCTGGGTTTTCTGCAGCAAAAATCCCATGTTGAAGGTATCTCTGGAGGTAGGAAAGGAGCGCACCAAGGACCCAAGAGGACCAAAGGGCTTGAAGTCCCCAGGAAAAGCCCTCTGCAAGTCCAACGGCTCATACCATCCCCGGGTGTCACACAGTGGACACCCAAACCCCATCCAAAACGCCATCGTTGGCAACCAAAACGTTTCACGTCCAGTCTCTTCTGCTTGCGCCGTCCAGGTCTGAGCCATGGACCCGTCTTAAATCTCCCGTTACAGCATCCTCCACCTGCAGCTTAATAGCAGCTTTATGCTTTTTAGGTTACGACTGATCCCAGATTCCCCAGAATAAAGAGCGACTTCCCTCAATGGGATGACTGACAAGACGGCGAAGAGAAGGTTTATTCAGCGCATTATCTAATTCATGCGGCAGCGAAGGAAACTCATCTACTCAGAGCCTTAAACTTCTAAAGGAAACTGCTATGATCTCAAAGAGATTGGCCATAAAACTATTTGTATTGAAAACTTAGCCAGCGTGCCTTTAGTGCACTTTGTTCATTAACATTCTTTCTGGCAAGGTTTCCATATCTCAGCGTTCATTTTATACTTTAATTTGGTTAGTAGGTCTTTGTTTAATCGTCCTATTGAAAGGAGAACAAAGACGGTTTAGGTGATACAGTGAAGTAATACACTATATTTTATCTCTTGGAAAGCCCAGACAAAGTCGGGAGGCTCTGATACCCTCCGAGCCTTTCTCTTCCAGGACGTTTGGAATCACAAATCAGCTGAGGAGCATAAAGATCCTCACTGTACTTGGCCACAGACACCTTTGGAGGAGAAACACCTTGTCAGCAGGAGAAATTGGGGAGAAATTCGGCTTTTGAGCATGGCTTTGAGCATGAAGGAAGATTATCTTGGCAAAAACGCATTGTCGCTATTACCACTGTTGCATTTCTATCCATTCCCTTGCCTCAAAATCAGTAGTCAAGACAGAACCTCCAATTTCTGGGCTTTTTGCTTAAGCTCTTGATGCAAAGATCAGATTTTGCTGGGCGCAGAGGTTTGGGATGTTGGTTAATTTGCAGCAAGGACCCAGTATTTCATTTTCCCCTGCTAATCTGCAGACATAGGCTGCAGGATGAAAAAAAAAAGAAAAAATAGGATAAAAAAAAGGTCCCGTTCCATAAAAGATATTGCTGCTCCCTATGCCCACAGCTGGCCGAGGAGCGCGGAGGGCAGCTCCTGCGCTGGTGCAAACCGACACAGCCCCAACTGCCTCCAGATAAAAATCTGGCCCTGCAGAACAGGCAGGATCCAACAAGCTTTTCTCACGGAATAACTTTGACACCATTTTCTTTAATATTTGCTATTAATATTCCCTGCACGGCTGGCGTCCGTGCTGCACCGGGAAACTGCAAAGGGCTGGGGGGGAAACAGCACCTGACTTGATACAGGGGCTGTGGGCATCCGGCGAGCGGTCTGCTTCCCCCCGGAACATCCACTCCTGAAATCCAGAGTTTTTAACTCTTTCTATTAACGAACTTTACACTCATGGTGCAAATAGACGCAACAAGCTTTCCCCTTTGATAAAGTTGCTCCCAGTTTTATGATACTTCTTCATAAAACAGACGAAGAAGGAAACCTTTAAAAGTCCCCAGTTTCCCTCCTTTGGAATAAAACTTGGCTGCTGGTGGTGCCAAAAAACATCCACTTTGCAGACCCCAAAATGGCCAAGCAATGAAGCTGCCCACGCGAGGGGCATTTCACAGCGGCCCCGCGGTGGCATAATTTTGAAGGCCGTTTATTCTTTTTTTGCCATCGAGTCCTGCTGTCCCGCGGGCTCAGTGAAAGCGGAGTCGGGCTCTTCACGGCTGCTGAGCGAGGCCGGCCTCGAGCTCGTGACCCGGAGGTGAAAGGCTCCTTCTCCAGTTACTAATCCCGGGAGCCACACGAGCCTCCTGAAAATGATTCTCTGGTTTTATTACCACCAAGGTCATTTATAAAATCAGAAAACGGGGGTGAGGAAACCCGTGCGGCTGCCACGGTGGGCAAGTGCTTGCAGAAACACCTGAAACGTACCCGAAATGGCACAAGTTGTGCCCCAGCGTCGCATCTTGAATAATTCACACGATTAAATGTGAGAAGTTCTGATTAACTAAGCGGAGGAGGAAATGGATAAACAATTTACCAAAAGCCAGTTCTTTTTTATTGCAAGGATTGAAGGCTGTATATTTTGCACATGTGCACGTTACAGACAGAGAAAAACGAGACGCAGCTTTGAAACATTCAAACAATCCAAACCAAAAACTTAAACCCCAAAACTGTCCTGACCGATGTGCTGGAGGGGTAATTAATGGGGACAGAATATAAACCAAACACAGAAAGGTAAGAACTCATTTTTAATAAACCAATTTCATCCATATGGCCACTGATTTGTAATATAGCAGTGCTATCAGCAAAGCCTCATTTCCCTAACTAGTAGGCTGGTATTTTAAAAGAGCTCGATTGAATCATTCTCACCAATATCCATTTAGATGCATTTAAAAATAACTTCTAATCTCTGTGTGGCTGTTCCAAACCTCAGACATCCGTTGCTGTGCTGTTAGAAGCAGAAATATCCCCAAACGAGACGATGAAGCCTAAAGAAACAGCTTCAGAAACAAAAAGTGAAGCATTTCAAACTTATTCTTACGTCTTGCTTACCTCTACGACCCACTGCATTTACACTAGCTAATACTGTCACAGGCTTTTTTTTGTGTGTGTGGCGGCCTGCAATTTTCCTCTCTCATTTAAAACAGGGGACAAAACCTTGCGATTCACTCGGCCGGTCTTCACAAGTCGATGCACAAAAAGCAGCACTGGGTCTTCTGGCCTTACTGGCCTTCTGCTTCTCCTTTGGCCAAAAAAAACCCAAAAAACGAGCCCAATCTGGAAAACTCACTTTTTAAGAAGTTAGCAAGTGTTTAAGGATGCGACTCAGGGTCTGGTTATGGTGCTGGTTGACTTCTTCTGTGCGCACCACAGCAGACTGAGCTGAGCCGCATGACAAACATCTGCCCCACGGGCTCCTAAGAGCTGCTGGGTTTGTATTCTCTGAGAAACCCGCAAAAAAAATCCTCTGGGCCTAAAAAAATAATTAAAAAAAAAGGTCCTTTATAAATATCAGGTATTTACACGTGTGAAAATCTTTTTTTAATGTATGTGAAGTGTTTTTACACACCAATGAAATGTACAAGCAGTGACGAGATACATCGACACGGACTGAAAACAAAACCAAAACAAAATCAAAGTATAAAATATATTACAGGTTCACTGAAATAAATTCACATGGAAGAAAAAAACAAAACTGACACAATAGAAACCTTCTTTTGTTTAAAAAATAGAAGATATATCACAAAAGCTTGAACATGTTTATTTTATGTTAGTACTAAAAATCAAGGAAAAAAGCTTCATATATTCTTGTCACAAAAATATTTACCAGCCACTTTTTTTTTTAACCCCCTGCACTATGAATCTGGCTCAGCAGCAGAGGCTGCATCCAGACAGAGAAACCACTGCAGAAGGTCTCCTCGGTTTATGACTTACTGCCATTTACATTTTCCTCTCCTCTTAGCACCTTGCAAAGGTTCAAGAGGGTTTAGGAACAAATCAGAAAAAAAAAAAGAATAGAACAGATATCTGTATTTACAACATTCATGTTCGCTGCTGCCGAGCCACGGGAGAGGGAGCGGTACCGTTAACTAGGGAGCTCTTGGTGTCACGCGCTTCAAATGTCCATCGGCCGGGGACAGGCGGCATCGGAAGGTACCAAACCCCGACCCATTGGCCCCTCCGGTCGGGAAAACGCAACAGTCGGCAGCGGACGCCTGTTCCCGTCGGCCCCAGGGGTCTCTGCTTGATGACGGGTGACAACGGGTCCCTCTGCGACGGCGTCGGGGCAGATGCACAGGGCGACTCTGCGAGCCGAGACGTCCTCAGTGCGCTCGGTGCTTCCTCTTCTTGTGTTTTTTATCCTTCTTTTTGTTGGCGCACTTGGAGCAGAACCACTGCATCTCCTCCGGGGGGGCCGTCGTAATCCCCACACAGGGCCTGGGGGACACAAAGATCAGTGTGGGGCTGTCCCACAGGGGTCCTGTCGCTTTTATTTCTTCCTCAAATAAATAAAACTTTGCAGCGAAAGGCAAGACTTGGCCTCCCGCTCTTCTCTCCAAACTAATGAGTGTAACAGTAGCACAGAAACAAAAAAACCCACCCCTTTTTCCTTAAAAAAACCCATGGTACACTAAAGGGACACTTGGATAAAAATATTGTTTTAATAAAAGATACCTCCCTGCTTTAGGGTATAATAGTCTAGATTTAAAAGAACACCAAATGCTTCTTTAATACATCTGCATCTCTTTATGTTTTTACGTAGTTGTTTAAGAAAATGCCTAGAAAGTCATTAATTCTGCCCCCTTCCTTCTAAGAGCAGACTTTTTATTCCTTTTCGTACAGTGCTTTGTAACTGGAAGTGTCTAGCTGCATACACTAGCCTCGTAATCCTGGAGTTCCCACAGTATTTCCAGAATCAGCAATGTCTCCTAGTAGTTTCAAAAACAACTCTTCTCACCCATTCCTATTAATTAAGTATAATATTCTACAGCTTAAAATCTATCTTTTCTTTTTTTTTTAGTTTCAGAGATACAGAGAGAGAAAAATATCTTGTAGATTAACTCGACACAGCACAGCTGCCCCAGCTTCACGATTAAAAAATAATAATAAAATGAGTTTTTTTTAAATAATACAGCCACGACCTGCAAGGGAACAGCGGGTCGGGCCACTTACCAGTGATACCAGTCGTCGCAGTCATCACAACCTATCATTGGACTGCCATCATCTGGCTTGTTACAGCCAGGACAGATCCAGATCTGGTTCCCCCACTCGTCCCGGATCTGGGGCAAAAGGAAAGCAGAAGTTAGCTGGTTTGGAAAGCCGCGCAGGCAGCAGAATTTAGGGATATGCATCCATGGAAAGCGGCCAGGGCTTAAGAGCACGATGCCATCTCTGTTGATGCTATCATGATGGGAAGACGGACGCTGCGAATTCTGCCCTGTTAATGGGGAGAAGCAGCAAGGGCGGGACGCGAGAACAGGCTTACATGCATGTAAAATATACAGTGCAATGTGTATGTATTGCTTTATTACTTATTAGCCAAACTCTTCAACTCCGCTGGCTGATAAGATCAGGAAATAAAAAAAAAGAGTTGTTACTGAGTAACTTTCCATTCCCCTTATGACATTTATGTCACGGTACAATTTACTAAAGGGTAAACCAAACAAGAGAGGCAGATCATTTACAGTATTAAGCAGCTGCTTACTGGGTTTTATCATATTTAGGGCTTTATGATTTTATTTTCTTTAAATTTTTATATCCTGCTAGAGCCATATTTATATTTGGAAATTTCAAGTGTTTCCTGTAACAGTTCTTTGCTAAAATATACATAAAAAATGTCACAAAATCCATCCAAAGTGCAATTAATGATACAAAGTACAAAATGTCGGGGGTATGACCCTGATTTCATCAGTCATACATGAAGCTTTGCACATTAATACTGCATCTCCATGGTTTTGTCCCCAGCTTTTGTCCATTAATGTATTTACCCAGCTCACGTAGCTGAGACAGTAACTTTGTGCTGTCTGTGCAGCTTAGAAAAATGATAATAAAACGTAGTAGATGAAAACTCCCAAACTGACACACAAAAAAGGAAGCTGTTGCATGGTGGTCCATACGTCTTACATCATGTCCAGAGAAATCAATACGAATATACCAGAGCTGCAACCAACACATCAGTCTTGACAGGCTCCTCTCAAGGCCTTATTTATTTATTTATTTATTTATGCGGCTTAAAACTAGGCAATAGGAAGCACAGGAAAATATTAAGCAGGGAAGAATCCCCTTGCCACACCATGAGCTCGATTTTAAAGCTCATTGATTGCAATGATCACTCTTATTTCCGCACCTCATCTCGCATCTGCAAAGTTGGCAACGCAAAGTTGGCCCCTGTTGGCAACGCTGCCTTCTCTGTTAGAAGATGGATATCCTAACTTTTCCCAAGTTGACTTTTCAGGAGGGATGTTCTCCTGCAGAAGGCCTCTCCCAGCAGATCAGGGGCTGGAGAAGACGAGGGTGGTCCACAACCACCCTCCGTGTTTGCTGAACACAAACCTGCGCTGCTCCACGAGGCCGTGCAAAACATTGAGAAACTCCGCGCTCCTAAATCACGGAACGTCCTGGAAGGAGGGACAGGCAGCCTGCGATCCCCGAATGCTATTTTAATATTAATCACTCCGTGTTAACGATCAGAACACGCTTACTCAGATGCTATCCTGGAGGGAGATTCCACGTCGTATCCTTAAGTATAACATCATCCTTCTTGGACGAACACATTGTCCTTCTGTCCTTCCCTAAGGAAGGGAGCCGCGTCCTTCGGCTACGCGGGCTCCAGCCTGACCTCTGGAAGAGCTTTCCCATCTGACCTTGGGAAAGCATTTCATCCTGCCTTGGACTCCCTCATACAAGGGGCTAATAATTACTAATTATTCCCTTTTCCCATGCTCTCAGCTTTTGACTTATAAACTCGTGTCTCTCCCTGGTTGCATCCTTGGGCCCCAATGCAGTAATGCTCTCAACACTCTAAAACCAACAACAAATAACCTGGACCCTATATAGCTAGTGCTTTCTTAAACCATCCATAAGGTACTGAGGATACTAACAATGTCACTACCTGAAGTACTGGGCTTAAAAAAAAAATGAGGTTTTCTTTCTTCAAACAAATGCCATCTTCACATTATTTACATTTAGTGAACACTGAAAAAAAAGGACATGGACATAGCACAATATTCTGGTATTTTTTTCATTCCTAGAGTGAATTTCAAAGCTTTCCGATACTGCTGTAAGACAAAAGAGTGACACTATATTTATATCAGTGATAAAGAAAGTGAGGGTGAGCATCCTTCACCCTCAAGATATGAGCGGCCCAGGAGAGGTAGCCTAGTACTGTAACTAACTCTGGAGTTAAATGTAGCAGCTGTTTAAATAGAGACCAGTAACATAATACAACAGTTTAAGTCAAGCAGTGAAGAGCACCTTTTCCACTAGAAACGGCAGGGTAGATTTACACTAGGAATCGTTATAAAAACAGGAATAAAAAACAAATCATTGTAGGTTGCAATTAAAGTACAGGAAACTCTGTAATAAAAAACAAGTTTCAGGTGTTTTAAGTGGTGAGAGTTTTTAACTGGCACCTACTAGAGATAAGCAGGGTGTCACCACCCAAGCTGGAATTTAGCCAGGGCAGGGAGGATAACAACACTGCTACTATTGTTAATGTTATCTGCTACTCTTTAATGATCAGAATGGTCAGGACTCCCATTTTACATTGCCTCTAAAGCAGGAATTTTGAGTAGCACAACAATCCTCATACTGGGGAGAGCTGTGACTGCAAGTGCAGTTGACACTCTTCTAAAGGAATGAAGAAGACTTAATGTAACTGGAGAGAGAAACTAAGGTCAGAGCAAACGGTGAAAGGACTAATGAATTATACACAGATTTTTTTTTTTGAGATGCACAGATATCTGGAATTTCTCTATTTTGAGAAAACCAGAAGGAAAAGAGTGCACTGCACACATTTCAAATGAGGGCTAAGCCGAAGTCTTGATGCTGTGTGAGGGCTTTATACTTCACCTGGCTGACAGCAAAATCTATGGCAAGTTTGACATTTGAGGTTTCAATTCAGCACTTAGGAAAAAAAAAGCATCTATAAAAAATTCTCCATCTCTTAAAAAAAATAGTATGCCCTTGCTCCTTAGTAGAAGCCCTTGCTCTGCCTTTAGTAGAAAATCCTAAATGGGCTATTACTGGAGTTGCCAGAAGAAACTTAACCTTTGGACTGGCAAGATGCGACAGATTTCAGCCCAAGTAAAACTCCATAAAATAAGTTATTAACTCTCCAAATGGGTGCACGGAAGCAATGGCTGGATCAAGAGCAGCCTAACGGAGGGCAACCAAGTGCAGGTACCATCAGCTTGAGTTGCCACAAAGCACGACAGCTGGAGAGATTAATGTCACTGGTGCTAAGGGAAGCCCACGGTACCTACCACGTAAGTGCTGACGGTCTCTGTCACCACGCTCCTCACGGGGGCTTTGGAGCCTCCTGCTGCGGAGACAGCTGGGGACGGCGGGGGAATGAGGACCGGCGAGACGGTAGCTTGAGGTGGTGGAGGAGCTGGAGCCGGAGGAGGGGTGACGTGGACAGGAGCTGGGACGGGGGACGGCACCGGCGGAGGCGTTTTGGGCCGACCTGCGGGTGTAGCGGGTTTGGCCTCCGGGGCTGGCACCACTTTGCTGATGACTCTAGGGGACCAAAAACGAGAAACGCGAGAGTTAATGGGCAAGAGAGAAACCATCAGTTATCGAGCAGATCTAAAGACAGTATAATGCCCTTATGTCTAATTCACATAAATGCATTTATGGCTAATTCACATTGCTTTTAGGTCAGCAAAGAGGCTGAAATGTTTCAAGCCAGCACAAAGACTGGTTTTCTTGCTACATCCATCCACTGAGAGCACAAGGGTGAAGCAAAGAGCCACCACAAAGTGAATGCCAGGACAGCCTGAACTACTCTACAGCTCGCTGTCATATAAATATTCTCCGTGGCTTTACTAAACCTTGTTTCGTTAAGTTTTATTACATTAGCTCAATTTGTGGGAAATATTAGAAAGGAAAGTTAATCAGCTGTGAACAGCACTGATTTTAATCTTCAAACTGAGAGACGATCTTGTCCTCTTCAGATTCTGCATTAGGGGGTTCTCCAAATATTTGCTAGTTTGGTATTTCTTTCCTCAAATGTTTATGAAATCAGCAGTGGATCTAGTCAGGACAAATAAATGACGCACACTATACACTCAGCAGTTAAAATATTGCTACTTACTCGAGTAGCTGAAGTAGACAGGATGTAGCTCTAGTAAATACACAGTATGGAATAATCTTGCCCAGGAAGGGGGATACATAGAGGACCTGATATTATTAACTAATGTTGATATACTGTGCTATTGATGTGCGTGCAATTTAATGGAGCAGACAGACAAAGCCCTTACTGTAAGTCTCTAACAAAGAGAATAAAGAGAAGGAACCATAAAGAGAAGGAAAATGGCTTTTTAAGAAACAAAACAAAACAAAAGTCCTCAAAACCAAACAGAGGACAGGACTATTTGTTTGACCACATTTTGGTAAATCGTTTAAATAACTTATTTATGTTGTGCATGATCACTGTGGGAGTACAATCGATCTGGGACAGGGCCTCTAGGAAGAAGGAGATTTAAGGAAAGGTTAGACATTCCAGAGAGCAGGACATCTTAAGAAAGCAGAAATGGAGGCATCCATAGGAAAACCTTGCTGAAAACTAAATTGCAGCTACTGGGAGCCAGAGAGGAAAGTCCAGCTCTGCGGCTCTCAACAGGAATTCTGCACTGAACTTCAAGGACATCCAAAAGAGGGGAAAAGCTGAAGCTTTGCAGAAACCCTGAATAACATGGAGTCTTTTTCCACACTAATTTTTCACTATAATTCTGAGAAATCACAATAGAGCACCATTTAGTGTTTGCCCCAGCACAAACGGGGACCATGCCACCTATTTAAAAAACAACATTCTGCTACCGCTCTGTAAATTAGTTATTATACTAAATTAAATAAAATCTATTTGTTTAAAAGGGAATCAAGCGATTTTTGTTGTCAAAATGGATTGCCATTAACAAGTCTGCCCTAAATGTTTACTGCAGCTCTCATGACATTCAAAAGACAGTATCACCACAGTCAGACACACTGCATTTCAAAGCAAGAGTCCAAACACCCATTTTATGAAAGACTTGCAGTTATATAGAATCTAATGCTCGGCAGAAACAATGCAGTGTTTTTCTCCCAAAACATGGTATTTGCATTATGAAATCAGAACGATGACAAGTGAGTTACAGGAAAAAAAGACTTAAAAGAAAACTGAGCAACATTTTTGGTACAATGGACTAACCTACCATCTTCATCACCAACTCTTATCTTGAGACCTACAGACGAGTGAGCGCAGGAAGAAAACCAAACCCAGGAAAGTTTAGAAACTCAGAGCATAATCTAGAAGTTGTTAGGTTATTTTCTTAACAACACTGAAGACATTCGTGCTGCTTGGTGTTCCAGAGATTGCTTTAGGTGTGTAAGCCAGGAGCTCAGGCTCTTTGTGGGTCAGTGGAAGGAGCGAGACCATGAGTCAAAACATAGGACTCCTAACTTGAGCTGCTTGTGACCTACAGAAGGAAGGAAGTCTAGTTATCAGGTCATCCTGGGAATAACCTGCTTGCCAAATCCAGACCTCCTTCCTCTGCTAGTTGGGGAATATCTGGAAAGTCACCGCTCCCTCCTGTCCAGGAAACATGCTCCTTGGTTCTTGAACGTCTACGTTGTTTTTGGTTCAATGAAAATCTTCATGGGCATCTCATTGGGACAGAACGACTGGCCACCTCACCACTGATGCTTATGAACCAGTCTTTTGAGCTTTCTTCCTTGCACTTTCAAAGAAGCTCCCGGTTCCCACTGCTAAATTCATGAATACTGCCATGATTTTCAGAATCACCCTCATGACTTGAGAGCTTATTTCTCAATTCAAAAAAAAAAGAAAAACTTGGCAATGACAAAAGTGAGGAGAAGGACAGAACAGCAAAATATTTGGCACAGCAAAAGTGATTTGGATAGTTTCAAACATCATCATTATCCCTTCTTTCTCCATCCCCCTCTTCTCCCCGCCTCCCCTCCAAGTAAACAAAGTCCTGCTATGAGTTCTGCGGGGAGTCAACTCTCGCCTAGTCTAGACTAGGAGATGTCTTGGCTAATAGGATTTTAAACACAACTTTGCACACAGTGTAAACAGTTTAAAAGAAGTATTAGCTAACCCAATTTGAATAAAGTGACCATGCCCAGCTAACATCTAAAATTAAATGATACAGTTTCCCTGTCTGAGATAAAGCCTGGTGCCGATCGAGGACAGGGCCTTCGAAGCCACCTTGCTAATAACTGCAGAAACTATGCGGAGCATCCCCCAAAACTGCAAATATTCATTAGTGGGCTCACACATACTAATCGATTTGCTGGTTAGCTTGAAGCATGCAATTAGAACGTGTGCAGTATATAGGGCAGCTTGTTTATCTTGATTTTAGAGCTCAGTTATCAAAGCAGGAGATCGGCATTTTGGAGCACGCTTGGGCCTACCACTCCCTTGGGCTAATGAAGTTCAGAGACTTTCGACTCCGGAGCAGAGCAATGACTGGCTTCGCTCTTCCCATTAAAGGTGATGGAGTAATCTCCGCGCGGGTGGTTGGGCCTGTCCTCCTTTCCGAGAAAGGGGGCTGCATGCATGGCAACATGGAGGTGGGGAGGAATCAAAGGGAAACAGCAGTCCTGCGACTAATAATTAATGTTTCTTCACACTTGGAGAGAAATCTGATATCAAAACACCATGTAAATGACAACAAGATTTATGAGCTCTTCTGCGGAGGAGAAAATTGAGGCACGGAGCACTGCAAGCAAGTTGGGCTCACGAGAGCAAAGTCTCCATCCTCCCCGTGTCTCGCTCCGGGCTAGGATTTGAACTGTACATTTAGACATCATCATAGGTAAATTGTTACCTTCTTTCTCAAAGGTGCTTTTTGCATACCTCCAAAAACAGCCATTGCACATTGAAACTCCCTAAATACACAACTTAAAGACCAAATTTCTCGAGGCGATCAAGCACAAATGAACGTCGACCACCAGCAACACGCTCAGCACCCCAAGACAAGAACTACACCTCTCCGCAGGCTGCCTGGCAAAGTATCACAAACTTGGTCTATACCGAAAGATAAAAATCAATTGAAGTTGTTTTTAAATCGAAAGAGTTCCTGCAGAATGAAGGGGTGTGAGAAAACCCTTGGAATAGATGTGGTAATAGAAGAGTCAAAATAAATCATAACTGAAGGCTGCCACTCCCTTTCCAAAAAAACAGAATTATTGTAAACACCATGTACCTGGCTGCACACAGCCTGAATTCTCTCTGGATTTTTTTTATGCTAACTGGAACTGTATTTCTTACAGAACCTTATATGTTAGAACATATGTATCAATAACATGCTTAAAATATAGCTATTCATAAAGTTAGTTAAATCCCATTTTCATCATGCTTCTGGGACGGTTCCTACGTTCAAATCCATCTGGAGCAACCAGGACTCAGAGGTGTGAAACTGCTTCCTCTCTTTGCAAGTCATTTATTTGATCTCACTCCCATCCTTAGGGCTGAAAGTCCTGCTGATGGCTTAACATAAATGCAAGGAAAAGCTGTGCACTGAAAGGAGATCGCTTTTCCAAAGGAAAATATGAGTCCCAGGACTGAATGATTGCTCCAGGTGATGAGTTCAATAAAATAAATAAAAAATAGAAGTTGCTGCATTGGTATTTATAAAAGTTCAGTCAAAAATCATCGTAGGGTGATTTTTTTTTTCTAAGAGGGAGAGTTGCTCACAAGCTGTTCTCATGTATCCCATAAATAAATCGGAAAAGGTGTTGGAAAAGTCCTAACCACCTTCCGAACCCGTGACACATATTCAGATGCAAACAAAGAGCAGGCGAGAAGGGACATGAGTGAATGACACCATTAACTGCATAATTAAAACCACCACAATTGACACGTGTTATTTTGACAGTAGAGATATTCCCTTCTTCATACAACTTCTTTTTTGCAACTGAGTGAAACTGTTTTGTATTTCTTTTCCTTTTTTTTTTTTTTGTACTGAAAAAAATCATACTTTGAACTGAGATTTCTGCACTAGGAAACACTCAATTCTCTAAGACTGGCGGGTCAGAAGCACCTAGAGGAATTAGGAGCATTTCCATATGGTTTAGATTCTTCACAGATTAGAGGCGATTTTGAGAATTTTATTCCAACCCTGGAGGAGAATCAGTGTAATTTAAGCTCTCTAATGTAAGCTAGTACCCACACTGCTTTTAAAAGGGGAAATTTAATTTTTATCTCTTAGGCCTTGCTGAATATTTTATTCCGCGCAAACAAGCTATATTGGCAAACACAGGTCCCACAAATATGCACCACGACCAGCTCATACAGTGGCAGAGATATTGCCCCTTCTCCTCATGCAAAAAAAATGTCAAAACACACTGAACTTTGAGTGAAGCCCTTAGCAATTTCCCAAGTGAAAGGACTTCAATACTTAACCCTGAATTAAAAAAAAAAAAAGTGATAAATTACCTGCAACGTGATATTCCTCTCTGTCAAGGAAAATGAACTATGAACACTATTAAAAGGCATCATCCATTTTTGTGGACAG